AGGTACATAACAGGCTACACTCATAACCCTATAACTGTTAATCAAAGACATAACTGTCACACAAATTTTCAGAATAACTACCCTAACTTAGCCTATACCTTTGTAGGGATAGGACAGCACAGTCCAGTGAAAGTCTGAGATAAGTTTGATTGCATTGAAAATGGCCATTTCCAGAGAACACTGTAGGAGACACACACAAGGTGTATTTCCCACAGTGCCCCGAGCTGCAACAGTGCTGCAGAGGGTCTAGCGACACTTTTGCCATGAATGGGGGATCAAGAATGACCATTCCCCTTATGGCCCAGTGGTTATTCTTGATGATGTTATCCCGCCTTTTCAGCGATTTCTGAGCCATCAAGTCATAGCTCTGTGCCTTAACACACACTACAGTATGTTTCACTTCACAGCCGAAATGTTGTGTTACTTTTTTTGATCTTTTCAGCCTGGAATAAACTGAATAAATAAAGAGAAAAAAAGTAACCCAATATTCCGGGTGTGAAGCCCTCACAGCCAAAACGTTGTGTTTCTTTTCATCTCTTTTCAGCAGGGAATAAACCTTTAACGTCTTCCCTTGCAGCCTACACATGCTGACGTAGCTACAGTACCTACTTGATATGGGTATCACACGACAATTGTGTTATCGCGTGAGCACATAAAGTATGCAAAAATTACCAAGTCAGAATTCTGAGATAATTTTCTCGGAATTCCGAGATAAGGGTGAGGATTTTTTTCCCCCTTGTTGGCAGCAATGCGTATCTGTACATCAGTACAATGCAAGACTGGAAAAACACAGGGCACCTCTATTCCACTGAATCCTAAATCAATGTACCAGGGAAACTCATTTAAGCAAAAGAGAGCTATTCCAATTGATCCTTTCATATCTGTCCAAGTAAACCCATCTTTTGGGCATTTATAATGCACAATCTTCCAGGAGTGGTCAAAACTCTACAGTGATTTGCTGATTTTCTCTCAACTTTCTGTATATGCACAGGGCTGTCTGGCACGAGACAACTCGAAACAAACTACAAAAGTATTAACCCCATTTGCATTCTGCCAGCACACTGTGTTGCACAAGAAATTTAATTGTGGCAGTTAACAGATAACAGCTATGTGCCATGTTTCACTCAGCTAAAAAGCCAAAGTATTTCTGTTTCTACATCGCTGTACCTTTTTAGAGCATTTATACATTTAAGAGCTTTACTAACGGAGTGTTTCGATATTAATAGACTGCAGGTGGGAAAAGGACTAGCTAAAGAAGGAAATAATAAAAATGTACAGTATAAATTCAGAAGAAACTTTTCGTGTTGCCCTGTAGAGAACGAATCCCAGTTATCTGGATGATGCTCGAGGCTACCAATGACTCTTACGATCACATTTACACAAGTAATATTTCCATTCCTTTACCAGAAGGAGAAAATAATTTGGAAAAACTAAGTTCAGGAAGATGGAACACATTTAGATAAAACCAATTACACTTCCGTTTTACTGAGAAAAGACACGCAAGCTGTCATTTCCTTTGTTTTCTTCTTCGTCAATATTGAGCTACAGTTATTAATATCTAAAGTTCTACATCTGCACCTGCTACACAATCTGTGTCTAACTATGCTAAAGTGATACACCAGTACATTCAATTTTATCCTTTATAGGGTTGTGCTCAGAAACCAAACACTTTTTATTTGTACATAAACATGTTTTTGGTATAATTATCCAAGATGTTTGCTGAAATTAATGAAAGAGAAAAAAGTAAACTAAGCGCCTTAAATGATTCAAACATTTGGCTAATATCAACTTTTAGCAGTGCCCCACATTGTGCTAAATGTCTTGATGAATACTTTTTATTTGATGTTTTCAGCAAGGATAAAAGAGCAGGCTATATAATAATGCGATTTATTGAATACCGCATATTCTTCTTTTTGAAGCAGCTCCACTCACCTGCCCAAGATTTAAAAATAGACTAGATGGGGCAATAAAATTGATGCTGAAGGAAATATCTGAACAGGTGGATACATAAAATAGCCTTGCCCTATTTGCACTTTTTCTTATATCCATAAAAAACACCCTTTTAATGAAAAATGCTTATTCAAGCACATGATATTCAAATTACAAGATATAAACAGAAACTGAATATACTGTATAATAAAATGATCCATTCATCTGCTTCTTCCAATTCAGGGTTGCAGAAGAGCCAGAGCCTATCCTGACAATCAAAGGTCACAATTCAGGATACTTCCTGTAAAGGACGCCAGGCCATCGCAGGACAGAAAGAAACACACACCAGTTTTACCAGTTTTACCAGAAGCCAGTTAACCTGCCAGTATGTTTTTGGACTGTGGGAGGAAACCGGAGCACCCAGAGGAAGCCCATGTAAAGGTGGGGAGAACATGCAAACTCCACGCAGACAGCACCCCAGGTCTGGAATTGAACCCGGGTGAAACAGTGAAACAGCAATGCTGACCAATGGACCACCCTGCTGCCCGTGTAATAACACCCCTCTACTTAAAACCATAGTGAAATAAATAAATAAAACACTTGACAAAGATCACAGCTCTTACTGTTCTGGACTGGACACTGACGTTCTTCGGCCTTCGACTGCCACGTTGCTCCTGGGCCTCTTCGCCACCAGCGGCCGAGGTGGACGAGCCTGAAAAAAGCACAGGGTCACCAT